AAAAAAAAAAAAAAAATACTTACGAATATCAAAAATCATTTACAAATAATTAATAAGAATAGATTTCATGGCTTTGCCCAATTCGTTTCCCCTTCACATGCGACGCATTTTATAAGCGTCGTGGGATTTACGCGGTTAACTAAAACCACTGACCGATGACGGGGTTGGACGCCGCCATTTTTGTCTTTAGACACGATCGCGGCCATTTTAATATCCGACATACGAGATGTATTTACATTTACGAGTAACGAATTATTTTTTTTTTTTTTTTTTTTTTTTTGCCTCGTAAATTAATCGTGGGAGATTTTCGTAAAAAGAAAAAAAAAAAAAAAAAAAAAAACAAAATGTCGGACTTTCTTACCGAAAAGTAATACGTTTAATGCTTTATCTTGTTTTTTTAATAATATTTCTTCTTTTAATAATATTTCTTCTTCTTCCGTTAATTCTTTTGTCGTTAAATTTTTATATGGTATTTTATTAAATATTTTTTTCATTATTATTATTATTATTATTATTATTATTAATTGAACCGTGAAACCTTAATCGTATAATATATTACTGATTTCCTTACGTGCATTTTTTTTTTTAATTTTCGACGATGATAATTTTCCCGATAATTTAAATAATAATAATAATAATATATAAAAAACATTAGATTAGATAAAATTATCGTAGAATTTTCGAGAGACGTGATAGATAGATATAATTTTTCATAGAATTTTTCCGTTATAATAATAATAATAATAATAAAATTAATTAATTTTTCGGCTAAAACTACTTCCACGTTATTTATTTAGACATAAATCGATCGTATATATTTAAAAACATTAACGAAAAAATATTTTTAAAAAAATGGGGGAGGGGAGGGGAAGGGGGAGCTATTAACTATTACACGAGGGGAACCCACGTATAATTAATTAAATATTTATCTCGTTTTTTTTTTTTTTTTTTTTAATAGGAGTTAATTAATTAATTAATTAATTAATTTTAAGATGAAGATAATATTATACAGACGTTAAAAATATCGAGAGAAATTTTTTTTTTTAAATAAATAAATTTACGATGAGGCTTAAAAATAGAAACGTAAAATATTATTATTATTATTATTATTATTATTATCATAAAGAGAAATGATTTCGATTCTATCGGATCGTGAATAAACAAACAGCATCACCATCATCTGGACCATTATTCCCCCTTCCCCCCTCCCATGCCGCCCCCCGAAAATTTTTTTTTTTTTTTTTTTCAATAAAGTCCGACGTTTTAACTGGACCGTTTTTAACTGGGCCCCCCACCCCATCCCACTCCAATTATAATTAATTATTTTTACTTAATTAAGTCTCCTCAAAAAAAAAAAAAAAAAAAAAAAAACCTTCGTTAATATAAATTCTGTTCGCCTAATTAATTTAATTTAGTTTTTTTTTTTTTTTTAAATGACGTCACGAGCGTAAATTTTATTAACCGAATGAAATTATTATTATTATTATTATTATTATCATTATCATTATCATTATCATTATCATTATCATTTCTGTAACGAAAGCGTAAAAAAAAAATTAAAAAAAAAAAAAATTATATCGCGCATTAATTATTTGCTTTTCTGATAGAAATCCTATCGCGATAGTAATAATAATTATAATAAAAATAATAATAATAATAATAATAATAATAATAATAATAATAATAATAATAATAATAATAATGATAATGATAATGATAATAATAATAATATTTTAAAAATAAAAAAAATGCTTACGTTTGTCGATGATTTCCTTAATCATTACGAATCGTTTTTTTTTATTTTTTTTCTTTACGAAAATTTATAAACCTGAAAAGAAAAAAAAAAAAGAAATTATTAATGTTTGTTGTTTGTCGTTTGTTGTTGTTGTCGTTGTTGTTTGTTTTAATTTTATTATAATTTAAAATTAGGTTTACAAAAAAAAAAACGATTAATTTTAAAACTAAACGTGTCTTTATATATATTTATACGTAAGAGTAAAAATCGAACGAATGGATAATGAATCAATCAATCAATCAGTCAATCAATCAATCAATCAATCAATCAATAAATTAAAAAGCTTTTAAAATAACGGAAAAAGAAAAAAGAAAACCACGTTGCTTTTTACTTATTACACATAATTGCGTATTATAATATTTTACTTATATACGTATAAATCACACGAGCAGACGACTTTTTCCCCCCCCTCCTTCTCTCTCTCTCTCTCTCTCTTTCTCTCTCTCTTTCGAGAGATGTTATTGTAAAACAACAGCAATTGATTCCTATCTTAAGTTTTCATTAACGAATTTAAAAAAAAATTTTTTTTTTTTTTTTTTTTTATAAATTTAAACGGTTCTTCATCGACACAAGGGCGTGTGGCATACACGCACACACGCGCACGCACACACCATCCATGTCTGTTCATTCTTCCATTTAGTGAATAACGGGCGGCATCGCCCACAACAGCCGTCAAGTTTTGACCATTTATATAAAAATTCAGTTATTAATAGGAGTTCAGTTGGAAAATTTTTTTTTTTTTTACTAGCATATTTATGAGCTTAAATCTGACAAACGACAATAAATTTGATCGATTGTTTAATTAAAAATTTTATTGTTGTTTGTTTTCGTATGATAAACCACTACTACTACATCGAATAAAATAGCAGACGATAAAAATTTTTTAAATTTCCCGTTTTTTAAACACTGACTTGTTGTGACTGATAACAACATTTAAAAATTCCCCTTTTGTTGTGATAACGTACCTCGCGTAACCTGTTTTCGTTAAACAACCAGTAAAACAACCAATAAAACAACCAGTAAAACAACCAGCAAAACAACCACTATTATTCCTTATATTATAATAATAAATAATAAAAAACAATCGTTTGTTTATCGTTTGTATTAAAAAAAAAAAAAAAAAACAATTAATTTACCTGTTTAACTTATGATGATTATAACGAAATGTAATAATATATATTTCTCTCGTCTCAACGACAAACACCGAATGCAACAAACAATAATAATAATAATAATAATAATAATAATAAACTCTCGATTCGTTATCGTGATAATTATGTTAACCAGAGGACGTAAGGATCGAACATAAACCTAAGTCGGTTAATAATAATAATAATAAATTTGCATGTGAGGGGGAAAAAAAAAGGGTGATCCATGTAAACGTGTTTGTTTGTCCATATGAGGGAGGGGGAGAGAGAGGAGGGAGAAGGGGATACAATCACCCTTTAGTTGTTAAAAGAAAAGAAATAACTGAACTTTTCAATTGAGACCGAAGTATAATAATAATAATAATAATAGAGAAAAAAACCAAAGTTCAGAGGGTATTCGAAGCAATTAGGAAGAAGAGGAGAAGAGGGAGGGGGAGGAGAAGGAGGAGGAATTCCATGGTATTAAATCATCAATATGAATTACTGTTAATTCGTAACAAACTCTTAGGCTAACTAACTCACTATATTCATTTTTATTTCGATCATGTTATTATTATGAACGTTCGGATGATGTTTTACGTTTCGTTTTTTTAAATTTCCGGAAATCACGTTCGAACGGATATTTAAGTGATTTATTTTAGTATTGTGAAAAAATGTGAAAAGTGTTTACCTCACGACAACCAACAACAAACGACAACAAACGACGTGTAATTTGACATTTTTTTTTTAACGAAACCGTTCGGGTGCGAGTTTTTTTTTTAAATTTTTGTAAACAAAAAAGGAAAAAAAAATCTTCTGCTGTAAAAAAAAACATGAACGGATAAAAAACTCGTCACGTTTTTTTTTTTTTTTTTAATCATAATAATAACACAATGCGTTCATTTAATTTAATAGCTTTTTAAATAGATGCAACGAACGTGCGAGCGATAATAATAATAATAATAATAATAATTATTAACGTTTAATTTTTAAATTCGTTATAAAAACCCATTGGAAAAGTTTAAAAAAAAATCGTAGGGGGAACCCCTAAAACAAAAAATTTGGCGCCAAAAAATAAAATTTAATTTGTCATTTTTACAAAGGGGAATTAAATGGGGAGGGAGAGAAATAGAATAATAATAATAATAATAATAATAAATTCCGGTTTTTTGTTTTACCTAACGGAAGTTTAAAGAAAACGGAAACGCATTCGTAAATAAATATTAAATTAAAATAATAATAATAATAATAAATTGTTGATAATACTAACTACGGTTAATAATAATAATAATAATAATAATAAAATTTATCGACGGTAAATTTCAATAATAATAATAATAATAATAATAATAATAATAATAATAATAATAATAATAATAAAAATGATAACGAAATAATAATAATTAATTTTTTTACTACTACAAATGAGTATCGTTCGAAAAGTATTTCTCTCTCTCTCTTTCTCTCTCTCTCTCTCTCTCTCTCTCTTACTCTTTCTCTCTCTCTCTCTCTCTTACTCTCTTTCTCTCTCTCTTTCTCTCTCTTTTAATTGGCATAATGAAAGAAAAAGAAAAAAAATCGCCTACTTCCTAAAAAAAAAATAAATTTGTCCATCAATGAAACGTTCGTAAATCATTTTTTTTTTTAATTATTGTTCACAATAATTTTTTTTTTTTTATGAATGATTCATTCTTGTCGAAATTTTTTAATAATAATAATGATAATAATATCACCCTAAGTTAAACAGAGTGTTAAATGCCCCCCCCCCCATTTCGAAAATAATTTATCTATCGAAGACACGTTTTCTGTCTTCTGCTTTATTTACAAAATAAAAATTCCTCGGGATTAACAATAAACTATAAACAGGTTTTAAAAAAAAACGTGGCAGCAGCAGAAGTCTTTTTTTTTTTTATTAAATAAAAATAAAACAAATTTAAATTTTTTAAGGTTTTCGATTGCGATGTCGTCAACGTGAAAGAAAAAATAAAAAAAACTCGGTTTAAACAACAACAAAAAACAAGCGAACTATCAATCAATAAATCAATCAATAAATCAATAAATCGATCGATCTATGAAAAATGATTTTATTTGGATTAACGATATTAATATTTAACTTACACGCTATCATAGCGGATACATTTAATAATCAATTTTTTTGCCCGGATTATCATCCGCAAAGAACTCTCGATTTGGATCAGGTACGTTTTTAACAAAAACCTACTAAATGATAATAATATTCATAGACGGGGTTTTTAAAACGAGGTAATAAAATTTTTCTTGTATAACAAACGACCTTGGAATGAAAATAAAAATAAAAAAAATTTTTAAAAACGCGGCGTTTTTTCTGTCACGCCGTTGCGTAAAAATACATCGAAGGTTATAACTTTGTCACGTGTCATACCTGGATTTACATAACTTTCGGACGATGTGAAAAAAAAAAAAAAAAATTTGTTTATAATTCGTACCTGAATCATTCGATTACGAGACATTTCTCACACACACGTGGGATTAAATTAACCACCACCACCACCATCGTAAACGTACCTACCCCCTCCCACCCCAATGGATTTATACCAATCGATTATAAATCGAACTTATCCGTCCATATGTTATCAAATATAAACAAATTCGTTTGAAAAATTTTTACTCACCATTTATTATCCGTTTTATACGACTCGAACCACCCGCACTTTACGCGCACCTGAAAATTATTAAACGATTTTTAATTAATTAACGGACAAAAAAAACAATGATAATAATAATAATAAAACAATCGCGATCGAAAATCGTACGAAACTCACGCACGTACGGACGCACGCACAAAATTTATTCGTGTTTTAGATAAAAATGCATCTCAAGTTTTCATATTTACTGCTTTATACAATTCAGGTTCTAAATTCAGGTATTTTTTTTAAAACGGTTTTTTAAATTAAAAATTTTTAGAAATAATAAATTTCGGTAGTCGTCGTTGTCGTTTCCCCCCCCCTCATTCCCCCCTTTCCCCCCCGAATTACAGAAATTATAATAAAAATAAATAAAAATTCCGCCTGATAATTAATTGTCACGTTAAAATTAAGCATTCACGCATGACAAAAAGCATAATTAATTTTTCGAAGGCGTTTTTTTTTAAAATGAATTTTTTTTTTTTTTTTTTACAGTTGATGGGAGCTTGGTACATAATTGAAATAATACATCACAAAAGAGATGAAGGTATGGTACACGGATCTATAAGCCTAAAGGTTTGCCCACAGATATTCATAGGTCGTGAAAGTCGAAGCGATATGAGACTCATATGGAAAGAACCGTCGGCAACGTTTTATTATAAAATAAGATTGGATAATCATAATAATCCAGGTTCATGGATATCATCGGGTCCGCATAACGGTAAGTATTCAAACCGCCCCCTCTCCCCCCGTTTAAATATAATCAATAATAATAATAATTGTTTTTTTTCCTTAGAATCTTCGACGTCGAGTAGTTTTTTTACACATTTCACGGGTACCATACAAGTTATGAAAGCTGTTGGTAATCACATGGCATTGACATTTTGCACAACTCAAAACGACAGATCCCTTTTTAGCGTTGTTCTATCAAGAGAAAGAAAATTATCGAAACTTGAAATACGTGGTGTTAACAACATGCTACAGAGAAGAGGACTCGAACCTTTATTATCTAAATACACGTGTAGTAATTGTGACGTAATAAAACCTTTTCTAACCTTTCTTTTACTTATTTCAACCTTTCAATTTTTCCTTTAAAACAATGCTTAACTTAATGTCGATTATTTTGCGACGATCTCTCTCTCTCTCTCTCTGTTTAAAACAAATTTTTTATATTTATATATACCTTATTGCTTTTTTTAAATCCAACGTTGCCATTTAGAATATGGAAAAAATACATTTTCAGCTTTACTAATTTTTTTAATGCGCTGTTGTCGTCTGTAAAAAAAAAAAATCATTTTATTTATTTATTTATTAATTTTTTATAAATAATAATAATAATAATAATAACTTAAATTTAAAAATTTGCATTTATTTATTATTATTATTATTAATGTTTTTTTTTTTAACAATTTACATTTAAGTATTATTATTATTATTTGTTAAAAACTTACTTTATACGTATGGCGGAGTACAAATTGTAGTGATTTTTGTTTTTTTACGAATAAAATATTATTATTATTATTATCGTTTTTTTTTTTTTTTAATAAAATTTATAATAAATAAAAAATCATCATCATCATCATCATCATCACCTTTTACGGTTTTATATCTAAATCAAACATAATCAGTTATTGAATTTGATAAGTTTTTATCAGTTAGGCAGGCTTTCGAATGTTTGTTTGTTTGTTTGTTTTTTTTCCCTCTCTCTCTCTCTCTGTATCTCTCTCTCTCTATCTCTCTCTCTCTCTCTCTCTCTCTATCTCTCTCTCTCTGAAACGGGTTGTTGTTGTTATTATTATCATTATTATTTCGATCGATGCCAAAAAAAAAAAAAATTTATTTGATTTTAATAAAAAACGACACGTCGGATTGAAATTAAAAAAAAAAAAAAAAAAATGTCATAGAATAACAAACAATTTTTTTTCATAGTGTAAATATTTAATTTGATTAAAAAAAAAAAAAAACAAATCCATAGAGATAATAAATTAAAAACGATAATTTAAAAAAAAATTTTGTTTTGTCGTTAATCGATTAATCGATTGAGAAATTTTAAAAAAATTCGATTTTTTTTTTTTTTTAAATCAAATGTTGCCAACTTAAAATTTCGGGTGAAATAAAAACAAAACGAAAAAAATATACGAGAATTAAGTAATAATAATAATAATAATAATAATAATAATAATAATAAGTCGATTATTGTTATTGTTATGAAAATCGTGGGACTGGAGTTTTAACAAATGAAATATTGTTATCTACTAATTTCTACTACTACTACTACTACTACTACTGATTTTTTGGGGGGGTTCCTTTTTAATCTTAACTTATCGGTACCAAGAGATATCGGGCCATATCAAATGTTTGGAAAATGATTGTCTTTTTTTTTTAGAGCGGACCATTAAATGCCAGATAGATAAAATAAAAAAATATATATGAAAAATAAAATAAAATTTTAATCTAATCGATTAGTTGATGCGAACGCGACGAGTTCTTTATAATAAATCTCTCTCTCTCAAAAAGTTTTCGTTATTAATTAATATAAAATAACAAAATAATAATAATAATAATAATAATGATAATGATGACGGTGATGTCGTATTTCCGGAAAAATGTGATCGATTACGTAGTATACGAACGGAATAATAAAGGAAATTTTTCCGGTAACCATATCCGGTACTATTGCGAAAAAGGTAAACAAAATTTTTTTTTTACTCGATGCCAAAATGGTGATTGGGGAGGGCGGGGCGCGGAGGGGAAATTCCCTTTTCCGAAAACAAAAAAGAAAACATTTTCTTTTTATCGATTTAATAAATTTGCATATCGTAGATTACAAACGGATTATTATTTTTCAATATGGCGGCCAATTATATTAAAATTTTCGCGCGCGTAATTTTTTTAAAAAAAAAAAAAAAAAAAAGTTTTTGTTACGATTAATAAATACTTTTACAAATTATTTGTTAACAACGATATTGTGTTTGTTACGTTTATATCCCGACAAACAAAACAAACGGAAAAAAAAAAAAAATTTATCAAAGCAAATAAAAAAAAAAAAAAAAAAAATGTCTATTTTTATTTAAAAGGTGAGTGAGATGAAACCCTCCCCCCCCCCCATTTTATTTATTTTTACCTCTCCATCGCCCTTTTTTTTCTTAATTTACAACGTATTGTCATCTGGAGAAAATATCCGATAATAATAATAATACTAATAATAATAATAATCATAAATTTGCCAGCGATAAGAATCCGGTAAAAAAAAAAACGTCGCGATTTGATTTCAATAGAATCCCCCAATTATTAAATCAAAATTTATTTAAATTTTTCGACCGTTAAAAAAAAATTCCAGGTACGATTGGAAAAAACTTTCGATAACGTACCTTTTTCCAAAACGTTCCAGAATACGAATATTTTATTTCCGATCATTTCGATTTAAATTCGATTACGTCACGGTGCTAAAGGTTAACGATTTTTTTTTTTCAAATAGAAAATTTAAGGAACCGGAAGTGATTCCTTTTCGACAGGTCGTTTTTTAGTAAAATGAATGAATGAAAAAAAAAAACCTGATTTCATAAGAAAAGTAAACGATTGATGATAAACCTTTTAGTTTGAACAAATTCCGAATCTTTGAGTAAAACAAACAAAAAAATGAGTCTAATTCTTTTTTTTTTTTTTTTTTTTTTCTAAAATATTGATTTTTTCTTTGCCAGTGTACTTTGTTATGTTGGTACGGAAAGTATCGTCATGATATCATCATTATTATTATTATTATCGCATCGGTAAGTTTCGATTTTTTTTTTTACTTTGTTCGCAAAAAAAAAAAAATTCGATCGTTATTTCGGATCTCAACGTTTTTATAATAATTATTATTATTATTATCATTCATTTTTTAAATTTATTTTTAATAAATAAATTAATAAAAATGAGAATTTTTTGTTTGTTTGTTTGTTCGTTCGTTTGTTCGCTACTGGAAAACTTTTATCCTCCACCATTTTGTAAAAACGCCTTCGATTGCTACTGGGCGGAGCGTAAATACGATTTGATTTCAAAGATAAAAACGTTCGCGCATTAAACCATCCCCCCCCCTCATATATAACGTTCGTTTTTTTTAAATAACAAATATGGCGTCTTTTTCCTTCTTCCCCCTCCCTCCTCCCCCACACTCGAAAATGTTTATTCCACTTCGGAAAATCATTAATTTTCCAAAGGGAATTTAAAAAAATAGGGTAAACGTTAATCGTCATACAAAAAAAATTTTTTATTTTTTATTTTTTACGAACGTTATAAATAATAATAATAATAACGTGTCACGTGGTCATATTACGCATAAAGGTACGATATGAATTTTAACGTGTAATTAACGAAACCTGAAAAATATTTTTTTTTTTTTTCTTAAAGAAAATTTATTTATAGTAAGCTCCTCCTCACGGTTTACGTGGTGATTATTATTTAACGATATTTTTTCCTTTTTTATTTTTAATAAAATGTGACGTAATAATCGATAAAAAATCAAATTAACCAATCGGAATCGATTTTGATAAGATTTGCGATGGAGTACGCGAGACAAAAAAAAAAAAAAAAAAAAAAAAAAAATAGAAAACAAATGGGGGGAAAAAAAAAAAATCAATAAATCAAATTTTTTTCATTTTCCCTTCATTTTGGCAAGTTTTATAATCGAAATAGTTACAATTTTTAATTATCGTTTATATTTAATCGGGGGGACGCAAAAAAAAAAAAACCGTTAAAATTTTTTTTTGGGTAAGTTTTTCTTTTTATGTTTTTCATGTTTTTTTTTTTAAATAATTTTCTTTCTCCCCATTCGTCGTCGATCGATAACGGCAGACATTTTTTTTTTTTTTTTTTTTTTTACGAAAAAATTTTAAATGTTATTATTATTATTATTATTATTTTTAAATTCGAATTGCGAAATTATCGAACGAATTTTACGAAATTGTTCGTTTGTTTTGTTTAAAAACAATTCGGGCCCCCCAATTTTTTTTTGCGCCATTTTAATTAATTAATTAAACATAAACAAATTCGAAACTTACGATATGCGTTTAATGTTACGATTTCGTCAAAAAAAAAAAAAAAACTGATGATTTTACCTCGTTATCCTAAATCTTAATTATTATTATTATTATTATTATTATTATTATTATTATTATTATTATTATTATTTTGTATTTGTTCCATTTACGATGTCATATACTGATTAAATTATTTATGTCACAAGATTGCGCAAACATCGTAAGTCACACCTTAAAGGTAACGAAAATTTTAAAGTCGAACCACGCCTCGTTAAAATAAAATAAAAATTTTCCTTTTTTTTTTTTTTTGTTCAAAACTTTCATTTTTACAACCCTTTGATTTTTCAACCCCTAACGGTTTTTAAAATAATAATAATAATAATAATAATAATTTTTAAATAAGAGATTATTTTTTACCTTGTTTATCTTTTATTTATTTTCCTCCTCCTTTCTCCTTTCGTTCGTGTATGACTTTAGTAATAACGACGAATTTGTCAGAACGGTGGGAGAACGGGGGGGTCCAGGCTGCAAAAAAAAAAAAAAGAAAAATTTATTTATTTTAAATATGAAGAATTTTATAATAAGGATTTTACGTCAGTGTTTGAGTCAAGCGGAAAAGGGGGGAGGGGGGAAGGGGGAGGAAATATGCGTAAGGAGGTTTAAATTATGTTTGTTTGTATTGACAGGCGGAGTTGAGACGATTTCCTTTTCTTTACACAGGCTCAACTTCCCTTGACACACACACACACGAATCATTCATTTTTACCCAATAAATTAATTGTTTTTTAACAAAGTACCGACCTTAACCTTTTTTTTTTTTTTTTGGTTTAAAACAGGTAAAATTTATTGTTTTTTTTTATAAATTCGAACGAAAAAGTTTTGCGAGAAAGAAAGACTTAAAACTAATTTAGTTTTTTTTTTTTTCTAGATGAAATACTTTTAATGAAATGAAATATTACATGGATGATGAAAATATGAATGGGAAAACAAAAATCGATGAGGAAATCGAATCGGATAAAAATTATAAGTTTAAAAATGAACAAGATGATGATAATGGATTGAAAATAATTATAAAACAAGAAACGAAAAATAAAGAACAAGAAAAACAATCCGTTATAACGTATCAAAATTCAAATAAAAATACAATGATGGAAAATGTCGGAGATAAAGATGACAACGATGAGAATAAAAGACTGTGGGAAAGAAGTGGAGAAGAAGAAGAAGAATGTAAAATAAATGGTGATAATGATATGGATAAAAGAAATACAGAAATTCACATCGTCAATTGCGAACATCAATATTCGAAAGAACCTAATAGAATAATGATGAAATCGAAAAAATTCGATGTTAAAAACGAAGGTGATGATGGTGATGATGATGACGAAAGCCAAAGAGGTACTAGTCAAAGAGAGAGTGCCATACATTTCAATGATGATTTAAACGAACAAGAAACCAAAGTGATACTACATTCGAACAATCAATACGTTCATCAAAATAAGGAAAATAACGTGACGTCATTTTTAACGACGAGAAATATATCGGCGGATAATTACGTGAAAGAAGAATATCGCGAACGGGATGATTTAAAAGAAGAAGAAGAGGATGATGAAAAATCGTACAAAAGTCATAAAATAATGGCTTGCCTTCCGGATTTTCAACAGAGTTACGGAGAAGCGGAAAATTTAAAAAGGAAAAATTCTAGTCGCTATGGAGAAAAACATTCAACGAATTACGAACCGAAAAAAATTATGCGGTTAGATAAAAATCCCGGCATGGCGTCGTATACGATCGAACAAAATAATAAATCCACCGTTCATCATTACCCGGATAGGGATCTATACATTAATCAAGGGATTCAAAATGTGGAAAACATGGAACAAAATAACGGTTATTCGGATAGGTTGTCTGAAAGGGGGATTGAATTTCGAAACATTGAAATGAGATACATCGAAAATGTAAAAGTCGATCCTTCGAGTTTCAGCGTCATGACCCATGCCGAACGTGATCCCATGCTTGGAGATTCATACTCGGCATCCCCGAAAATCGTTTCCTATCCTATTGAATATCAAAAAATCCCCGGCGGCGAATATCACGTCAAGTACGAAGATAACAACGAATCCGGTCATTCGAGAAGAGATTTAGAACAACATAATAATCAATTGATTGTTAAAAATTCAAATCAAATCATTCATTCCGATATCCTACAATCGAATATTCCAGAATCCGCTCCTGGACCAACAACGACTTACACGACTTTGCAAACCGTGTCTCATCCACCGTCGAACGCGTACAACAATCTCTACCCTCAAAACGAATACCATGACACATACGTACAAAAACCTTCGAATCCAACCCCCGTCTACGAAATACATAGAAACAACGAAGACATTTACAATAAGACGACGGGTGAAGTTTGTTACAGGAACAAACAGGATATGAATCACGGATACGGTTCGAAAGTACCTGAAGGACCGGTTATCGGGTATCCTGGTGCTTACATAACGGATGACGGACAAAGACTTACATCGATAGGAGGACCAGAAGAAGTTCACACCGAATTCGTAATTAAACACGATGGCACGACTTCGATTATAGGAAGTAACAAAACGATTGGTGAACAATTGGTTTTACCATACGATCAACAACATCAACAATCCCATCAATCCGATTCGAATATAATTACATTTTACGCACCCACTGGAACTCCTTATCAATGTCCAGTGACGGCAACTAATTACACGACAACTCCCAACGTCGAATACGATTCGTGAGTAACAAAAAGTTTGAAATTTTGCGACAACTTCGTCGACATTTGACAAAAAATTTAATTCCTTTGGTTTTATTATTATTAAAAGGTACACGGATGGAAATCAACATTCAAATTCAAATCAAATAAATCATTATTCGGATTACATTCCAAATTCTGCTTCCACGTCATGGAGTCCCGAAACATACATAAACGGTAAATAAAATCACATTATTATTATTATTATTATTATTAATTAATAATTTTTAACCTTTGGTCAAATTTGATCCGATTACTCAATTTTGAATAATATAACAAAAAAAAAAAAAAAAAAAAGAGTTATCAATAAAAATTTAAAACGTTTCCATCGTTTTCTTATCTTATCATCGATGATCACCTTTGATGAATAAGAAAACAATAAAAAAAAAAAAATATTTCGACTACGACAGCAAAAATAATAATAATAATAATAATAATAATAATTTTTAATACTTAAATTTTAGATGTTAAAGAATGTGTGAATTGTGCAACGTGTAGGACGCCATTGTGGAGACGAGACGATGATGGTCATTATCTTTGCAACGCATGCGGATTATACAACAAAGTAAACGGAGTCAACAGGCCGTTAATAAAAGCCAACAGCAAAAAGTACAACAGCGTGAGTAGTTCTTCTAACTCTGCTAGTCCTTACTCCGAGGTGGGTGGTGTGATCGGTCTCAAAATTATTTCCTCGTGTTGCAATTCCATCGTTTGAAATTTTTTTTCCTTCTTTTTTTCCAGTCGCCCGCAAATAATAGAAGAACTGGAGTCGAATGTGCAAATTGTCGCACAACAAACACAACACTCTGGAGAAGGAACAATACCGGAGAACCTGTTTGTAACGCTTGCGGACTTTATTTCAAATTACACGGCGTAAGAAAAGAAAACAAATCACGTTGAAATTTTTCCTACGTCGTACAAAAAAAAAAGAAAATTTTTTAAATTTAAATTTTCAGGTTCCGAGACCACTATCGATGAAAAAAGACGGTATACAAAGTAGAAAAAGAAAACCTAAAACTGGTAGCATAAATCACATGATGAAACAACAAAAAACTCACCACGGTAGGTATGCATCGTTTCTAATTAACAAAAAACCAAAAAATTTTTTCTTTCTTTAAAACAATTTTCCGACATTTTTCCCCCCGATTTCTTTTTATAAAAAAAAAAAAAAAGATGGGAATAAAATTTTACCGGAATTGAGTTACGGAAGAATTTTAAACATTGAAATGGAACCCAGAATGACATCGAGAACGTATCCTCATCATTTAGAATACAACAGAGGGTCTTATCATCCTTTCATTATGGGACCAGTTGACGAACAACAGCACATCATTCATTCCGAAGAACATATTCAGGCTCCACCGAGTCCGACGTTACCATCTTCTGCTTTATTAAACAGACAGATATCCCAGTGAGTACCTTATATGACGTCATCACTTACACATAATTCTATCGTTATTATTTCATCGAATGCATCCTTTCAGAGTTCCACCGTTGGATCCGACCACAATAACTCTTCACGGACACAACGATATGATAACACCCACCGGAGGTATCATCTCTAGAACTCATACTCAAGATGGTAATAATACTAATAATAATAATAACTCATCATCATCTTCATCTCAAAACTACGAAGTGTGACCTATATTAAAATCACCCCCTCCCGCCCCACCAACAAATTTTTTTTTTTTTTTTTTAAAAACTCAAACAAAATATTAATAATAATAATCATAATATATTATGATCGTAAGATTTAAAAAAAAAAAAAAAAAAAACCACAAATGCATATGTTTCACATAATAATAATAATAATAATAATAATAATAATAATAATAATAATAATAATAATAATAATAATAATAATAATAATAATAATAGTAACGAACAAACGAGAGAAAGAGAGATAGAAATATTTAAATTTAACACAGGAACATTGTGTTATCAATCCATAATAATAATAGTTTACCCCCCTCCCTTCCCCCCCTTATAAAAATCCCTGGAATGAAAAAAATCAATAAGTTATCAATTATCACAGTTAATAAATAATTAATTAAATAAATAAATAAATAAAAACTATAAACTACAAAACCTTTTCTAAAAATGTTTGCCTTGTCTTAAATCCACAAAACTACTTAAATGTCAAAATCACCCAAAAGATTATTATTATTATTATTATTAACAACATTTAAAAGTTAAACTTATATATATATAATATAATTTGTACATCAAAATTAAAAATAATAATCAATAAATTTATAATATATATATATAAATAAATAAATAAATAAAATTTGTAGTGAGAATTTTATTTTGACAAGAACAAAAAAAAAACAATTGATTATATTTATATATATATATATATATATGTGACTATTATTATTATTATTATTATTAATATCCTTTTACTATTCTGTTTCAAGTGTGTGTGTGTGTGTGTGTATATAAATAACGGGAAGATTATTATTATTATTATTTAAATTTTTTCACATAATAATCAAAAGAAATAAAAATGAAAAAAAAAAAAAAAGTTATATATTATTATTATTATTAATCAATCTATAATTAGGCACGCATATGTTCTCATATAAGAACTATTTTAACGATCAATCAATCAATCAATCAATCAAACACTGGAGAAAACCTATTTGTAAATCAAATTATCCCAATCAAGTTTCAAAACCTATACAATACAACATAGAGTGTATATCACTACAATACAAACAATAAAAATTATTATTATTATTATTATTTTAAACAGAAATACAGTTGTAGTGGTAGTAGTAGTAGTAGTAGTGGTAGTAGTAGTAGTGGTAGCAGTAGCAGTGGTAGCAGTAGTAATAGTAGCAGTAGTGATAGCAGTAGTAATAGTAGCAATAATAGTGGTAGCAGTAGCAATAGTGGTAGCAGTAGTAGTGGTAGTAGTAGTACTAGTAGTAGTAGTAGCAGTAGTAGTAGTGGTAGTAGTAGCAGTAGTGATAATAATAATAAATTCATTCATCAACTAATATGTGATTAGAATTTGTTCGAGAAAAAGAAAGGCTGTTATTGGTTTAACAATAAATTAATAAAAGAAATGGATTAACAATCATGATAATGATGATAATAATAACAACAACAATACTAATAATAATAATAATAATAATTGAAATTAGTAAACAATTTGGTTATGTTTTTTTTCTCAAGTGATTGTTCTAGAACATGACATCACCAAAAAAAAAATTTTACAAGGCCTTTTTTTTTTGTTTAATACAATAAATGCATTTCGGCTTAAGCCATCTTGTCAATTAAAAACAAAAAACATGACGTGTCTTAATAATAATAATAATAATAATAGTAGTAAATGTTTCATCAAGTGAAAGACTTTAAGACAAAACAACAACAATCACAAACATGTACACAAACATTTTGAAAAAAACAAATAATAATAATAATATATCACATACAAAAAAATTTTTTAAATTTGATTATCTCTCATATTGCTATGAATCGTTAAAAACATTATATTATTATTATCATTATCATTATCATTATTAAAATTTAAAAAAAGACAGCTATATTAATAATAATAATAAAGAATAATATTCATACCTGATTAATTAAAAATAAAATGATGACATCAAAATTTTATTTTCAATTTCGATGTGTTTTCTTATTTTCTTTTTTAAAACTTATTATTGCGAATAACGAACAAATTCAAACTTTTTATTTATCTCAAACGATGTCAAACGATAAATCGATAATCGATATTAATCAATCGATAATCGATCGATACCGTAATTATCTAATATATATATATATATATATGAAACATTATTCGAACATCAAAATTGGTATTTAAATAATAAAAAAAAAGAATGAATAAAATCTATAAGTAAACCGTTTCACAACTTTATAACGACCGTTACTTGTTTCCACGAAACCATTATCATTATTATTATCATTATTTTTACTTAGTACACGACAAATAACGATATTTACACGACGAAATATAAATAATAATAACTCCAGATTAATTTTACTGTAAAATAATAATAATAATAACATTAACATTAATAATATTACGCGATTTAAAACGAAAAAATTGAAAAACAAATGAAAACGTTGTTACATCACATTAAAAATAAATATTTACAAGTGTGCCAACTTAAAATCGAACGAAAAAAAAAACAAACACTTTGCTACGATTTGAAAATTCGTTCGAATGTTCGATTCGTTAAACGAATTCTAACGGTTTTTTCTTTATTCTTTTCTTTTAAACGAAATAAAATTTAAAAAAAAAAACGCGTTTTTCTTTTCACGAAATATGAAATTTTTTTAAAATATACAATTAATTATTCGCCATTAGAGTTGTGATGACGTCATCGTGACGTCAACACGTTGGATTTAAATAATCCGAGAGCCCGCGTAATTTGTTTTTTAAACCGTTTTTCCGTTATTCCTTAATATTAAACAATATAATAATTATGTACATGATTAATTTTACATAAATATAGAAATATATGAATGTGTATGTGTATGTGTGTGTGTGTAGAACCCGTTTCAATAAAATGTGTGTTTGTGTATATATATATCACGATCAACATGATTTCGCTTCAAGAATACAAATATATATAATTTAATAATTATAGATTAATAATAATGATGATTAACACACGAATATAATAAATAATATCGATAAGTAATGTATATATATGTACATAACGATTCCTTCAATTCCTTTGTTTTAATAATTTTAACGTTTATGGGTCGATTATTATTATTATTATATGTAATGATAATTACATTATTCGTAAGCATTGAAAATTAACGAGAGTGAGAGAGAGAGAGAGAGAGAGAGAGATAGAGCGATTTTAAATAGAAATTTATTCGAGTATCGACCCTAACCAGCAGGGTAAAAGTTAATAATAAAAAGATGTTTGTTTGTTTGTTTGTTTGTTTGCTTGTTTGTTGTTTGTTTCTTCTTCTTCTTCTTGTCGTCGCAAGCGTTCAAAATTTCATCCTCCATCCGTACATTAACCCTTTTGTTGAACGCTTACACGCTTTTGGATCATGTATTCAAATCCCGTATCGCTTGCAATATCCTTTTGACGTGTCCGACTTTTGTCACTCCCAAATCTTTGAGATCTCTTCTCGCCAAAGCAATGAGTTCTTTTCCTCGTATGTCGTTTTTAGCAAACGAATCCACGTATTCGGAGAGTTGAAGGGATTCCAACCATTGGGAAACTTCTGCGACTCCCCACGACGATGCCTCCCTCTGACGTTGATTCCCTCCGTGACGTCGTAATTTCAACCAAAACAATCCTCGTCCTCTTCCCTTGTTCGTTCCCGACTGAAAAAAACGATTTCGATAATTCGCAGACGTTTTTCCTTTTCGTTACATTTAAACCTTCTAATTTTTCTACTTACCTGTTCGAATATGTGATGTAAACCCACCAAACCGTTTTCGTCGACGGAACATTTCCTCAGTTCGATTTCCATGTCGGCTAATGCGGAATTTAATTTTCCCTCCATGTCTTCCCTTAATTTCTATCACCGGAAATATAATTTTTTTAAAAACTTTGAAAAAACAAAATAAATTTTTTTTTTTAAAAAGAAGTCTCACCAAATTAGATCCTTTGTCTCTCAACATTGAACAAACTTCTTCGTATAAATCTTTTCCCGAATTGACCAATTCTGTTACTTTTAATCTTAATTCGGGTCCTTCTAAAATTTTCCCACCCGGATGTACGTTTTCCAAACTTTTTGTCGTTTTCGTCGCCAAATTGTACAATTCTAACAATAAATAAATAAATAAATAAATAAAAACGTCAGCCATGTTTGAAATAAAATTTGAACAAAAATATTCACCCGTGTCCAAAGTGTTGTGACTTATGGTCACCAACTGAACGCATTTGACCAAAGTCGTCGTGACTTCAATGAATCCGAACAAGAGTCGACTTTCTTCTTCGGTTAATAATGTCGGGAAATTTGTTTCTACTCCGGTGCTGCTGTGACTGCTACTCGTCGCGACGGTTTGAGATGCCTGTCAAGTGAAACGCGTAAGAATGAGGCATTTGAGTCCTTTCGTACCTTAACACCTTTCAGTATACCTCCTTAAATACCTGAGTCAGTTGTTGAGTTTGCACTTGTTGCGATTGCCTTTGTTTTTCTTCCCACGATTTCAAACAGTTTTCTAATGCTCTGTTCCTGCACAACATTTGCATTCGATTTTTATGTATGATTCTTATGACTCCAGGAGGTTGTATCCAAGCTTCTCCGTCCACTTGAATGGGTACACCTTCGTCTCCTGCACGCAACACACACACACATGAAAGCGTTAAGAAAAAAGGGTGATAAATAATTTTTTTTGTTTTTTTTTTAATACCTAAAACGTTGATTTGTACGGTTTGACACTGAGCTATCCTGTGGTGTTGGAGGTTGATCAAACGAGAAGCCGCCATTTGAACGGAACCGAAAACCGCCACGACTTCCAGTATCTTATCGTCGAAACTCGGTGCCAAAAAACAATCGTCTTCTTCTTTTCCACCCCAAAAATTCGTTCCGCCCATGAAGCTGGGAATGTTTAAAACGACGATACCTTGAAGAGATGGTAATGGTATTCTTTGTCCGTCGCATTCGAGTTGTACGCGTTGTTCCAAGTTCTTATAAGTTTTTTGAAGCCATTCTCGCGATCCTAAAACTCCGTACCTGAAATTAACAGCCTCCGGATCAAACTCATTCCTTCTTACCAACTTTTTTTTTTTCTTTTCAAACTAACCACATGTAATTTTTAGCCCGGGATCGACATTTTTCAGGATGCTCTTCTCTCTTGTGATGAAAATCCAACGCGATTTTCGCATCGATACCGATTCCGAAATAATTGTTCATGACGCATTTTTCGTAAAAACCTTGTAAGAGTGTTTCGTCGAAATCCATGAGAGGCGCTGCCGTCGCGCAAAGAGCATCTGCATTGGCTAATAAAACCTGAGATATGAGTCCGGCTCCTCCGGAAACGTCTGGAAGGACAATTCACGTTTAAATATTTTTTTAGAGGGGGGGGGGGAATTTTCACAAGCGTACTTGGCCACATGGGAAGTCTGACGAGTGGATTAATGATGGGGAGTTTTTTAACGACGTCGACGTCGGATTTATCGAAACTTTTCGATCGATTTCTCGATTCCACAAATTCCATTATTTCCGCTTTCATGAGACTGCAATTGGAAACGCGACGAGTCGCTTGAGGTGATGCTTGCAAAAGGCCAGTGGAAACGGAAGTGAGAGCCGATACTGATAGAAAAACAAAATAAAATTAAGAGAGAAAAAAAAAAAAAAAAAAAAAAACTTCTTACGACCGTTCTATAAAATCCTCACGTTTTCCTTTGGATTCCCCGCTCGACCTTCTCGTTTCGTCTTCGTGCACGGGCGAAGGAGGATCGATGACGAATTGAAATTCGGGAACGGAATCGATTTTAACTTTCGATTTGTCAACGTCGACCCTCGTCAAATCCACATCTTCATCATCCGTTTCGGAATATCCCGGACCGGATATCACATCCTTAAACAATAAGAAATTATTTCGTTAACTTTTCGCATCGATTCAAATCCTTAAAAAGGAATCCCTCCCGATGTTCACGAACCATTTTGTTGCCTTCGTTAAATTTTTCATTCCATTCTTTGGTCAGGTCGCCGTTGGAACCTTTAAATTGAATTTTAACCAAATCGGAAGTCAAATCCTCTTCGAGTTTTTTGACGATTCTTCGCGGTTTTTTCTTGAATGACATTCTCGCGATGTCGTTCCCTTCGACGAAATGAGCCAAACTGCATCTCAATTCTAAAAAGGAAGACATTTTATCGATCGTTTCGTTAAAAAAATCAAAAAAAAAAAATCTTTCCTACCCGGTTCGAGTTCGATATCGTCCGTTATATCGATATCGTTTTCCAAATATAATCTTCTGCTATCTTTCCGACATAACAAATGTTCTTCGTCTATGTAGGGACTCTTTTTTGCCAAATTCATCGCGTTCGTTATGTCTTTGCTTGTTTTTATATCGCTGTGACGTCGTATTTTTCCCTCGTCTGAAAATAAACGACCATCGTCGTAACATTTTACCAACTTCAACAAATGAATTCGAATCGAAAAATTTTAGTAAAAAAAAAAAAAACAAAAATTACTATTCAAATTTTCGAAAACTTTTAAATAATCTCCATTAATCTCCGTCAAACTTTTCGAAACTTTCCCCTCTTCTTTAACTCTTAAAAAATTTTCCGTGAAACTTTTGTGTACGATTCGAGGGGGACCGGGTGCGATGCGTCCCAGGGGTGGACTCGAACCTTGATTCGGGGGCGACGTTTCTTCGGATGGGGATTCCGACGAATCGATGTGCGACAAATCCATTTCGTCGATTCTTTTATTGAACGTTTTTTCCAGATCGTCGTCGCAAGTTCCTCCGGTTAGAAATAAATAAGGTTCGCTATCCCTTTTATCCGTACCTTCGGGTTCTTTTTCCTTTTTACCTTTTAGACAAAAAGACAAATAAAAATCATCATCATCATCATCATCATTTTAATTTGTTTTCTTAACGGTTATCGTTATGCGGTTACCATTTTCGTTTGATCGACCATCGGTGGTACTTTCTTCTATTTCCACGTTTAAATTCATTTCGGTCGTAACGATTTTTATAATTTTTTCCTTTTCGTCGTCGTCGTCGTCGTCGGGGAGGAGGAGTCGTCGTCCTCGTTCTGCGACGATGTCTTGCGAACTCGTCATTCCTTTGTTTTCGATGACTAAATTCCTCGCGTCTTCGTTCAATGAGGAAACGACATTTTCCCACAAACTCGAACTTTGACTGTTTTCGAATTCGCACAAAACATCTTTTTCGAACTTGAGTAAATTTCTTTCCACGCTCACGTCACCTTTGAATAATTTAATATCGATATCGAGAGGCACGGCCAAATTTTGCGAAGGTACAACACCCCTAGGTTCCCCCCAAAATAAACGAATAAGAAAAAAATTATTATATTATTTTCGAAAGAAAGTTAAAATCTGTTGCTCCCTTACCCTTCGGTTTCTTTTCCCAACGGAAAACTCCTTCTCCGAGCTAAATTATCGGCAAATTCGTTAGGCACGGGTAACGTTATCATTTCGTCTGATGCCGATTCACGTCTCACGTCCGGCAAAGGTGATAGAGAACTGATACGAATATCCGCGTTCGACGGCGACCTCGACGAAGAACAAGAATGAACGGGAGAAGGCAACAGAAAAAATTTTTGAGTGTCATCGCATTTAGGCAAAGTACCCAATGAACTTTCAAAAGGTACAGACTTGATTTTAGGAAATTTCTAAAAACGAAAAAAGGAAACAAATTCAAAAAAAAATTTAAAAAAAAAAAAAAAGGCGCGAAAAACTAAAAAAAAAAAAAAAAAAATTCAAAACGAACTAACATTAGGCACTTCTAATTCATTCTTTCCCAATGTTTGAATTCTAAAAAGAGCTTGAGTGGTCGTGGCTCCAGACGTTTCTTGAACGTTTTGCATATCTACGGCACTTTCGACGTATTCAACCAATTGACTCACCGCCTTTTTTAAACTGTTCGCTCTTGAAACGAGTGCGTCTTTTTCCACGTTAATTTTATTCTAAAATTTACCAAGAGAAAAAATAAAAAAAACTCCATTTCGTGTTTTCCAAAAAAAAAAACAACTCAATTCGACTCACGGATTTTTCTCTCAGATTAATAAAATCCTTTTCCTGTTTTTCTTTCGCCAATTTTTCACCATCTTCGGAACTTATCGAATCGCTCGGTTTTTTACTTAAAATTTTTGGAGCGACCCCTCCTCCTCCTCCACCACCTCCTCCCCCACCTCCTTCTTCTTCTAAAATTTGAACCAACATATCTAATTTATTATTTAACTGTTGACATTTTTCGCTGAGTAAATCGTCTCCGTGTGCGAGACTCGAATGAGCTAACCTTAACGTGAAATCTCTTATCGTTTCGCATAATATCCTGCAAGAAATACGGTTATGGTAATCATCACTAAACTTATTGATTATTGCTCCCCCCCCCCCCCAAAAAAAAAAAAAAGAGGTTCCGACTCACTTTGCCGAAGATATGACTACGGAATGTTGATCCGATTGTATTATTTTAGCTAGATGAGACATGACGTTGTTCTCGTATTCGGATACCGTGAGCGCGAGTAAAGTTTCGTCGAGGGAAAGTTTACTGACCGTGGTGGGAAGTATCATTCCTCTTTCCAACGTCATCACGCTCCACCTTGAAAAAAAAAAAAAAACGCATCCAGTAAAAATCCGGGAGTGAAGAAGAAGAGGGAGAAAGAGGATAATAAATTTCTTTTACCTGTCCAACATTTTGGTCGATGCTTTTTCGTATTTGTCGAGAAGTTGAGGTAAGTGAGTATCATCGTCGCAAGAAGCGCCCCAACCGAGTACTCGTGCCAAATCGTTACCCGTACCCAATGGAAGAACTCCGATTTGACATTGTTTCTGTTGTGATACCATCAAAAAAAAAAACACACAAAATGAAATCCTTTTGTTTTTGAAACATAAAAAAATTCGTTGCGAGCATATACTCACGTGCATGTTTAACCTATCGATTTCCGAGAGTACCCAACCGACGGATCCATCTCCGCTGCAAACCAATATTCGAAAAGGATCGAAATGTCTGAACAATCTCAATCTAAAATGGCGATTAATTCATGATTAGTTTGTTTGTTTGTTTTTTTTTTTTTTAAACACTTCTTCGGATGATAAAAAGAGTCAAGTACCCGAGTCCGGGTCCCCCGTGAATCAAATCGAAAACTTGAGCAGGATTCAACAATTGCTTGAAACGTCTTAAAAATTTTATCCCTTGATTTTCTCCCGATTTAGAATTTACGAAAACCAAAAGTGGCGAACAGCCCTGAGGTCGAACGGCTTCCCAAGCTTCGTCGTTACCTGCATTTTAAAAAAAAAAAATTTTTTTTCCGTTTCCTGTTTCTACCAGGCTATCGAAAAGCGAAACTCGTACCTACCTATACTGTTGAGAGTCGTAGGGGGTACAACGGAAACTTTAGCCAAACCCAGAGGGCATTTAACGGGATGTTGTGGTCTGCAAGCCGTGTGTACGAACGCTCTGCACCATAGGCACCTCCAGTCTTGCAGTCTTAAAACGGATCCGCACGTTTTATCGCAAACCGAACATTTTGACGATACGGGTAAATTTCCCTCGATCCACTGATGAGGCATAATGACGTTCTGGAGAAAAACAAAATTATTCGAGTTTTACACGCACACGCAAACCCGCAAATCATTCCAAGTTCAAATTACCCCAAATTCATCTTCTATTATGTCTTGACCTATGCTCGCGAGTGTCGTCCATTTGCAATTGGGAAGAGTTTTGACCGCGCACCTTTTATGAACTTTACATTTGCATATTTCGCAAGATAACCCGTGGGAAGTGACGCCGGACAAGGGTTCTCTACACATGTTGCAATACGTAGGCCTCGCGTGGAATGTTGCGTACCAGTGATGGTGACCCGATAAGAAATCCTCGTGTTCTCCACCCTAAAATTTGACATTCGGATACCGTCCGTCTCGTTTTTTTTTTTTTTTTTTTTTGGAAAATCTAATTCCACGTCGGAAAAAAAAAAAATTAATTTGTTTTTAAATTACCTCGTAGTATTCTTTCGAATTGGCAACTTTCAAAGCTGCTATCCACTCTTCCATTTCGGCTTTCGTATCCGCGGCTAAAACCAATCGTCTGAACGGCGTTATTATTTGAAAACTGTTGTTTGTGTTTTTCGTACCGACTTGACCGAAGCTTATATTCGATATTTCTATCTCGTCGAATATGAGAGCCTGGAAACAAAAACCAGAAGAAAAATTTTTTTCATCGTCGTTGACATATCGGATACGTGAAAAAGTGGGTCACCAGTGAGAGAAAGAGAGAAAGAGAAAGAGAAAGAGAGAGAGAGGGAAAACGATTACACGATTGTTAACACAAAGTAATTATTTCATCCGGAGGATAGGAGGGGGCGGGGCGAGAGCGGGGAGAGGGAAGAGGCGGGGAAATTTATTTTCCGGTACGTATTAAAAAATTTTCCACAACAACAAATCCAACGTGAATACATTACTATTAATCTCTTTACAAATGGCGCGTTGCAATTTTTTTTTTTTTTTTATAATGCCTGGAAAAATTAATAATGATGATGATGATGATGATGATAATAATAAACAAACATCGAAATTTTAAAAAAAAAAAAATTTTTTTGTTTTTTTTTTTTCGTTAATGAAATTCGAATGATCCGAAAGGGAATTTTCCAATATCGAAATTGTTATAATGATTATGATAATTAGTAAGAAACTGGAGACTTTTTGGAGAAATTTTCTCATTTACTTTAATTTCCGGAAAAATTCCTTATTATTATTATTAACGGAAATGGCCGTCGTTTTTTTTTTTGTTTTGTTTTTATTTTGTTTAATGCTAGTGGCAAATTAATAACGAATCCTTCGTAACGAAACTCACGTCTCTCTCTCTCTCTCTCTCTCTCTTTCCCTCTCTTTCTCTCTCTGTCTTTCCCTCTTTTTCTCTTTCTCTCTCTCTCTCTTTTTTACGTTATTTATTCCCACAAAACGACCGCACGTTCCACAAAACTTATTGCATTAAATAAATAAATAAATAAATAAATGCAAAAAAATAATTCTCGGCGTCCTTTGACCCCAAGATTAACATTTTAATTCAATTCCCTTTCCCTCCCTCCCCCCTTTCTTCTATTATTTAAAAAAAAAAAAACAAATGGCGAACGTGACAAAAATCGCCGTTCGAGAAACTAGATACAAAACACACACGCACACACGCACGCACTCACGCACGCAAATTCAATATAGAAAATTCTGGAAAAAAAAAAAAAATTTCACATTTTTATTTTTTTTTTTTTTAGGCCATAAGGTTAATTAAAAAAAAAAAAATTTGACCCAAATTACATATAAATTTTCTTTTTGAATTCCAGGCGTGACCACGTGACGTTTTTTTTTTTTCCATAATTAAATTTACGAATTAGATTTATTTTAAATTTCCCAGCTTGAGGGAGAGGGGCGGGGGGGGGGCAAAACGTTTTCGTTTTAAATTAAAGTCGAATAAAATAAACTATCCTTATTATATATCTTTTTTCTAGAACATTCTCTCCATTATACTTTTATCAAACGTTCGTTTACGTTTTTTTTTTTTTCCACACAAAACACATTTTCCACGTTACAACCGATAACAAAACTTTCCATTCTTTCCCTTAAAATATTCATAATAGACGTTCACTTTTTCGTTTTCCACTTTTCTTTCTCATTTCTCTCTCTCTCTCTCTCTCTCTCTCTCTTTCACGAAAACTTATACTTATTTTTATTTCATGAAGATAAACGTGTGGCAATTTCCTTTCCCGTCAAAAATTTCACACTCGAAATAATTTTTCTATTACAAATACGACTGACTCCCTTAAAACTTTTCTTCCTCCTCCTCCACCTACTCCCCTCCCCCAAAAAAAAAACCAAATTCCGTTCCGTTCGTTCTCTTTCCCTTTTTTTTTTTTTTTGGAAAGACGTCAGCGAAAAAAAAAATTCGCGTTCTTTCAATTGCAACGAACGTTTAACGTTCAGCGTCGTTTAAAAATAACTGCATGTTACATAAAAGAGAAAGAGAGAGAGAGAAAGAGAAGGAGAACTAGAAAGCAGAGAAAGAGAAGGAGAACTAGAAAGCAGAGAAAGAGAAAGGAACAGAGGAACATAGAGAGACAGAGAGAGGAACAGAGGAAACAGAAAAACAGAAAGAGAAAGAGAACCAGAGAGAGAAAGAGAAACAGAGAGAGAGAAAGAAAACCAGAGAGAGAGAGAGAGAACCAGAGAAAGAGAGAGAAAGAACCAGAGAAAGAGAGAGAAAGAACCAGAGAAAAAGAGAGAAAAAACCAGAGAAAAAGAGAGAAAGAACCAGAGAAAAAGAGAGAAAGAACCAGAGAAAGAGAGAGAAAGAACCAGAGAAAGAGAGAGAAAGGAACAGAGTGAAAGAGAAACAGCGAGAGAGAGAGAGAGAGAGAGAGAGAGAAAAAACGGACACAACGCAAATTAGATCCAAACCACCTCCCCCCAATCATCATTTTGTTTATTTTTCGCCGCCATATTTGTTTAACGTTTCGAATCTCAAAAAAAAATATATCATACACGTATACGGGCGAAAATTATTTAATTAAATATTTAACAATTAGCAAAAAAAAAAAAAAAAGTTTTCTTTTTTTTTTTTTGTTCAGAAATCGAAACAAACAAACAAACGGAAAAAAATTTGAAATGATTCCCATGTGACCTTTACCTGTCAGCTTAAGTTTGTAATTTTTTTTTTTTTTCTGACGCTAAATTCTCGTTTGTTGTCTCAATTAATTACGCGTTTGTCGTTTTCTTTTCTTTCCTTTTTTCATTACGGTTTTCACATTTTCCCCCCCCAGTCTGTCTATTTATTACCTTTTTATTTTTATTTTTTTTTTTAAGAAAAGAAAAACGGACATGGCACATTGTGAAAAAAAAAAAAAAACTAATTCTTTTCCGGTTAAACTTTTTTTTACAAAAAGAAAAATTTTAATTAAAATCTTTTTTTGTTTAAACAAATATAAATCACGTGACGGTTTAAATCAACCGATTCAAATCGTAAATTTTAGGGGGGAAAAAAACCTTAAAATTTAAACGACTAAACGAAGCGAAGAATTGAAAAAGTTTTTTTTTTTTTTTTTTTTGCGTGATCAAACGGAAAAAGGTTTGAAACGATGATGAAAAAAACAAAGATGGCGAAAGGAAATGAAAAACGTCGCGTGCACAGTTTCCGGTTTCCGTCATTCCGGTTTCCGATATTCGAAGTGAGAAGAAAACGAGACAAACTAACCGCGAGATATGTCGAATGTTTAAAATCAATCAATTGATTTCACTGATAATTTCGCGCGTTTTAATTACGCGGGGGGTGGAGGTGGGGGTTGAGAAGGAAGGGGGAGAAAGAGGAGGGGAGGGGGAAATAAAAAAACACCGGGAGCCGTTTACGGAGGTTTAAGATTTTTCAAAAGTTAAAAGAAAAAAAAAAAAAAAAATTAATTTCATTCTACACGTGATCTTTTCGTGACGAAACTTTTCTTTTTCTTCTTTTTCTTCTTTTTCTCCTTCTCCTCCTCCTCTTCCTCCTTCTTCTTCTTTTCGAAGAAGAAGAAGAAGAACAAAAAGCAGAAGACAAAAAAAAAAAAGAAAAACTTGTCATGAGTTTTATACACTTTTTAATTTATTTGATTAGTTCCATTTACTTCCTGTCGGACTCTCGCAAACTGTCACGTTTTCTTTTTCCCCCCTACCCCCTCTTTTAACTACAACTTTCGTACACTCGTAAAACAATAATAATAATAATGATGATGATAATACTGATAATAATAATAATAATAATAATTTCCTTATTGATTTATATTATCATGCGATTTTATCCCGAAAAATGACATTTCGGTTTGGAAGAAAAAGAAAACATTTTTTTTGGCATTTTCCAAAAAGGATTTTTTTCGGTCGGTAATTTTCGGTTGCCCTTTTACGAAATTTTCCGGACGGGTAGAGGAAGGGAAGCGGGAGGGGTAGAGAAAGGCAAAGAGGATTAATTCGCGTTTGCGCTGCAATATTAAATTTTTTAAATTCGACTTTAATTACGCGTAAACAAAAAAAAAAGCTTCATTTCGAACGAATAATAATAATAATAATAATAATAATAATAATAATGATGATTTGATAAATTCGAATAACTTTTCCGACATCTCGTCATTCATTCATTCATTTCCGGTTTATTAAAAAATAAAAATAAAAAAAGATTACCATTCCCCTCATGAAAATTTTTTACGTACTCATCATTATTATGATTATTATTACTTTTTTTTTGTGTGATGACGTAAACGATGCGAGGAGGGGAAGGGAAGGGGAGGGAGGAAGGGAAAAAAGAGTAAAAGAAAAATAATAATAATATTGAAAAGGAAATTAACCGAGAGATTAAAAAAGAAAAAAAAAAAATATTAACAACATGGAAGAACACAACCAATTAATAACGAATGTTTGCAAACTTCTACAAAATAAAAAAACTTCCGGTGAAAAGGAAAAAAGGAAATTGCGTGGGGGGAGGAGGGAAGAGGGGGAGAGGGGAGGGAGGAAGAGGAGGAGGAAGAATAAAACTCAATAATAATAATAATAATCATAATCATTAAAAAAAAATAAATAAATAAACGATTAAGAAAATAATAAAATTATTTTTTCGAGCGTAAGATAAACAAGGAAAATAATTCCGACCCGATAAACTTTACGTTTTTTCCTTTTTCCTTTTTTTTTTTTTTAATTTGGAATTCATAAACATAAAAAAAAATCGATTCCGTCGAAAAAAAAATTGCGTGTTTGTGACCTTGATGCGTGACCTCTCACCCATTTGTTTCCCATCAAAAAAAAAAAAAAAAAAAAAGGAAAGAAAGATGTGGAAGAAAAAAGAGAAACAAAATCTCTTCATTATCAACGACGACGACGACGACGACAACCTTTTGACCTATAATATAAAAACACGAAGAAAAGGTTTTTCCCTCCAATTTTTTTTTATTAAACATTTAAATGTACCGAGGTCAATGACCTTGAACGCAAAAAACAAAACAAATGAAAAATCCATTTGCTAATAATCGAAATTTTCCGACTAACGGTTAAACGTTAGCCCCTTTTTTCCCATTATTATTATTATTATTATTTTCGAAATGTAAAATATATCAGAAAAATATAGAAAAAGGTTTGAAATTAATAAAAAATTTCAATCGAACATTCTAGAAAGAATTAGATTTATGATTTGTTTTATTAATAACAACGAATCAATATGGTGGGATAATCAATTTTACAGATAGACGATTGGATTAAACTAGTCAATCAATTTCATCAATTTTTTTTTTTTTTTTTTTTTTGTATTCAACCTAATTTTCTTTTTTTATTATTGAATTTACTATTATTATTATTATTATTATTATTATCATCATTATCATCATTATTATTATTATTATTATTATTATTATTACTATTATTTATAAATTTTCCCAATTTGTTTGTTTTTTTTTTTTTTTTTTTTTTTTTATGAGACGCCTATGATAAATTACGTCATTTTCCTTCTTTTTCTATTTTGTTTTTTTGATCGTCATCATCATTTAGTCAAATATCTAATTCCACGACCGTAATAATTTTTTTTTTTTTTAAATTCGAAATATAATAAAAGAATTAGGTGACCGGAAGGAGAGGGACAAAGGCGGGAAACGGAAGTTTAGCTACTTCCACGTTCTTTTTTTTTTTTTTTTTTTCTTTCTTTTTCGTGCACTTCGACCTACTTTTGTTCTCGCGAAAAGGAAAAACGAAAAAACCTCACGAAAGGTTTAACGCTCAATTTCACAATGAGAAAACTAAATGAATGAATTAATTAGCAATTAAAAAATTAACGTGGCAGCAAATCATTTCCGGTTTTTAGTAATTTCAAAGAAAAGAAAACATTATTATTAAAAACTGCAAAAAAAAAAAAAAAAATTTTTAAACGTTCTCCTTTTCCTGATCAATGGTTATTATTATTATTATTATTTAAATCGTTTTCGAAATGATTGTAATAATAATAATAATAATTATTTGTCCAGCTGTGTCTTCGAGTTCGTTAACCTAACAAATAATAATAATTTTTTTTATTTAAAATTTCAGTCATTTTAACTTTGGAATAGCGTAACAAAAAAAAAAACAGAAGATTGACTCATTTATAGCGCAAAGACTCAAAACTTTACTCCCGCGTGAAAAATTTCCTTGTTTTTTGTTTCGAAACATCTGCGTTTAATGTCTCGAAAAAAATTTTTTTTGTTTATACATCTCTCTACGTAAAGATTAATGAATCCGCGACTCGTCGTTTTGCTAAAGAGGACACGCAAAAAGGTTAAAGCTGCCCCCGCCCCCCACGAATCAAAAAGTTAAGCTCCTTAGTCATGAGACCCAGTTTAAGTGGATTCCGCTACTCTTTTTTTTGTTTTTTAATGAGGGGAACCTTTTTTTTTTTGGTCGACCTACCTAAATACACGACATATTTCATAACTAACTTTTCTTTTCGCGAAAACCGCGCGCGCGCGTGTGTGTGTGAGAGAGAGAGAGAGAGAAGGGACAAGGAAAAAAAAGGTCAGTGGGAAAAAAATTTTTAAAATTTGTAATCCTTATTAACTACCCACTCGGTTTATGATTTAACAACAACAACAACTTCC